CTGCGGGTATGGAGCGCCCCAGGCAAACAGGTGTTCATGCCCCAGGAGGACGATGCCCTGAGAGGCGAGCTACTTGTTAGGCAAAGGGGTTTCACTTGACACCAACTTTCTAAATGTATAAGTAAACTCACTGCGGTGGTTGGGCTGTGCCTTTTCGTTCCGTCCGGAGAGCGCTCCACCTGACCTCAGCTTTCTGTACATTGTGTCTTCGTTTCTCCATCCTCTCGCTGTCCTTCCCTCCAGCGAACTTCAAGTTTCCTTCCAGGAACTTCCAGAGCTGCGCTGGACACAGCAGTGATCCAGGCATGGTGGCACATGCCTGTAATCCCAGCACTTGGGAGGCTGAGGCAGGAAGACTGCAAAATTTGAGGTCAGCTTGGGCTACACAGAGAGTTCAAGACCACCTGGAACTGCATAGTGAGACCCTGTCTCAAAAAAACAAACCAAACAAAAACCAATGATAATAACAATAATAATAAACAAAAACAAAAGAACTTTTTAAAAAGGGTTGATAGCATTCGAAGCATTGTAGGAGATCCACTCATATTTTAGTGTGGTGCAGAACCCAGCCTGGCTCACACTAGGCAGTGCTCTACCCCTAGACCACGCCCCCAGCCCCACGGGATATTTAAAGGGCATCTGAAGAGGCAAGAGGGAAGGCTGGAGAGGCAAAACTGGAATATAAACTCTGTCCACGTCCCAACTTGACTGCTAAAGTATGCATAGGGCTGGACACCATATGGAGACTTTTGAAAAACAAAAAGGTCTTAGAAGGAGCTCTTCTGTTGAAAGACAGACTGATTAGGAGAAATCCGCACTCTTAACTGATCTACCCACCGTATCAGCACACAGCTAAAGACCAAGGACCCTTGTCAGCTGGGCTACAGAGTGAGCTCGGGTCCAGAAATCACAAGTTTTAATGGTTGTAGTGATGGTATAGTGCAGCGGTCCCGCCGCAGCAGGTCCAGGAGATTCTCGCAGGAGGGAACGTCGCAGGCGAGGAGACAAACACCACAGACACCAGAGGTCCTTCTGGAGGGGCAGGGGAGCAAGGCTCCTCTGACACAGAGAAATGGTTTTTGCTCTATGATATACTTATTCAATTATATATGAAACTTGGCAGGTTAAACAGTTTCTGATTAGATACAGCGAGGTTTCCTTTTTAGTTACAGGTTCAGGCATGGTTGACCGATTGTCTGGCTGCAATCCTAGCAGGAAATCAACTTTTCTAAAACACATGAAAGGAAGCAAAAAGATCAATCACTAGATGTTCTTTTTTCCTTTTTTTTTTTTTTTTCCGGTACCGGGAATCGAACTCATAACCTCATGCTTGCCAGGCAGGCACTGTGCTACTGTGCTACTGTGCTAAATCCCCAGCCCCCCCCCC